CTGCGGCTACAAAGTTCCCACTCCCGTCACTGAAGGTCCATGTGCAAAAAGACTATTTTTTCCGCCATCAAAGGAAGTATAACTGCTCCTACTAGAATGAACTATGCCCACTGACCAACAGATAAATCTCTTTACAACATGCTCTCATCCATACAATATGAAACATTCTCAACCCTGTTCCCAAGGCTTTCTATACTGTAATAAATTAGTTAGTCTGTGCGACACAGAAGAAGCTGGAGGTAAACCAGCGAGGAATGGTTCACTGTGACCAGAGGGCAGAGTTAATAGGCGCTTTCACACCGGAGTACTTTTCCCCCCGAACTAGGCCGATATGGGGGGGAGATTTGGTTTTACACCAAAAAGGGTCTGGAACTAGTCCCTAGTTCACACAAACCTTTGCACCCCCAGATAGTCCCTGCTAGAGAGGTAGTACTTTCCTGAGGAGGAAATGGTTCCTGGGTGTGTCGGCCACACTAACAATTTCTGATTGGCTGGGCGAATTGCAAACCACGCCCCGTAAAACTCCGAAAAGTTTTGTGAACCCAAAGCAGAAGAAGAAGAAGTGACGTCAACGGCTTCATTTGCCTAATCCTCCCTCAGGGACTTGTTCCGTTGATAACGCGATCTACTAGGACAGTTCGAGGGACTAAAGAGTTCGGGGGGGAACAAGTACCGGGGGGGACAAGTACCGGGGACAAGTACCGGCTAAGTACTTGGTGTGAAAGCGGCTATAGTCGCTGCTAGAGGCCCGATGTTTTCCCGCCATTAGGGCATCTTCATGAACAGACCGTTATCCATGGAAGGGACCGGCATGGGGCAGGGGAACTGGAAGAGACTCATGTCTGCTGTGAGGGCAGCCATGGCCGCGGGGTCGTGCTCGATCTGTGTCCTCAGGGCGGGGTCGATCTTCTCCAGCCGCCTCTTGATCCTCTTGGCCTCCCTCTCTCGGATCAGCCTGGCCTGCCTCTTCTCCGGCGTCTCATTGGCTCTTTTCATGCGCATGGCCTCCCTGTCTCTTTGCAGCCTGCGCGACCGCTGGTCCTCGGACTCCTGCATCCTCTGCATGCGCTTGGCCTCGCGGTCCCGCAGCCTCCTGACTTCCCTCTCGTCCTCCGACTCGCACGCCCTCTTGTTCTTCTTCGCCGTGCGCTCGCGCTCCAGCCGATACATGCGGGCCTCGACGGGCTCGTTCTTCCTACGTAGGGCCCATTTTCGCATGGGAGACTGAGCCTCCATCAGCTGCTGGTAGGCGATGCAGCTGTTGCACACCAGCAGAACTCCGGCAGGATACACCGGCATGGGGCTCAGGATGTCTGAGATGGGAGGGAAGCCTGGGGGGGAGGAGTTCAGAGCGTCGGGGATGGACCCCAGTGAGGGCCCGTCCGAGAGGAGGCTGTCGGGCAGAGAGGGAAAGGAGGGTCCTTGGTCAGAGCCCGCGCAGGGTCCTAGGCCCTGACACTGCCGGGGGCCGTGGCACTGGCTGGGGTGGTGGTCTGGAGCCTGGCAGGTGCGATGGGCTTGACACATGTTGGGGTCAGGGGCCTGACAGGGGGGGGGGCCCTGACAGGAGCTGGGGCTGGGCCCTGCTGCGTGGTCCGGGCTGTTCATGGGGCTGCTGGAGAGGGACATGGAGCACGTGTCCCGCCCGTCCATCAGATCCATCCTGGAGGTGTCGATGACATCTTTCAGCTTCTCCCTAAGAAAACAACACAGTAAATAAATAAATAGCTGGTTACTTGTGCCTTGAGGCTTTCTAAGAAGCATTAGGCTCAGATATATATTTTCTCCTTTCTTAATCTGACGTCCTGATCACTGCATCCTTTTATGTTGGTGTGTTTTCTTTCACTTGCCTCAGTTGACACAATTCTATAATTACATTTATACAGCTTAAAAAGGTGAATTTTATGTTATTTTTTTTATTTTCTCCATTTCTTTGCTCGTATTCAGCTCTGAAGGCACATCAGGGCACATTTGCTGCTCTCTTTGATCAATTCTGTTCCAAGTCCTGTATCCTAGTTACTATCACCAGTCTGCATCAAAGGCTGATAAATACAACGATTTGTCGAATAACAGCTTGTATTGTTTGGAATATTCAGCTTGCAATATAAATGAGAAAAAATACACTTTACATTTTCTGTTGCTTGTGTTCATGCCAACAGCTTGTTAGGACCACCTGGTCCGTATGGTTATATATTCTTAGACTCAAGTTATTCTGGCTTCATCCTGTTCTGATGCTTTCCCAACTATTTATTTGAGAGATGAGGTAGGCAATATGTCTCGTGACCTGCGTTTAACTGAGAGAGGAGTTTAGCATACTGCTACCGTATAACACATCTTCCTAACAGGTGCTTTAAATCTTCCTTTATTCACAGCTCATATAAATACACTCCATCACCATCAGCGCTCAGTTTATACTTATGGTGTTTTATTTGCAATTACATCTGACTATAATTATAGGTCGTGATTTTTCAGATTACATTTTAGATTACATGTCCTGACCTTGCCATTGCTGTCCAAATCTGAAACATAATGGTGGTTGCTAAGCAACTTGCATGTTTACTTCCATTAAATCTGTCAAAGCAGTACTAATTATATTCATCCCTCATGCTCTGCCTCCTGCCTGATCTCTTACTTTGAGAAGCACAGCTCCATTGTGTTGGAACATGCTGAATGTAAGACTAATTATCACTTCATTTTCAGAAAGTTCTCTACACCTTTTAATCAAATACTTAGTTCCATCCAATTTTTTTTATTAAAACCTACTTACGTCTTTCAAGGATTTCTAACAAATTCTAACAATTATAAAAAAATTTTTTACTGCGCTATTCAAAATAGTTCCTCCTGCTAAATCAGTGAGGTCTGCTGCCTTTGTAGTAGGTTGATAAATAATCTGAAGCTTACTGAACCCTTAGATCTTGTTGAAAGGTTTAAAGATCTATAGAAAAGAGCAGCAGCAAAACCGTAAAACTGCATTTTGAATTATTGATTTTTATGACTTATTATTCATTCATTATTAATTCATTTACTTGATAACTGTGGAAGCAACTGACCTAACATTTTTGACATAGAACAGCGTCATTTTTGATAGAGATGTAATTAATTTAAAATCAAATAGAAACACTTTGGGGCTATAATAATAATTCATCTAAATATATGGTTTATTTTTAAATATGAAAGCAATGGGGATTAAAGACAAGAGATTCTATGGAGATGAGCCAAACCTGTCAAAGTTGTTGGTGTCTGTGAAGCGCGCCCCGCAGACAGCGCAGTTGGACAGGCGGTCCTCGGAGTGGATGAGAAGATGGCGCCCGAGCGAGCCAGGCGAACTCAGGGCGCGCCCACACACCGGGCACACGTAGCTCTTACTGCTGCTCATCATACTGGTGTGCTGTTAATGACAGCAAAACAAGATCAGAACATGGAACTGGGAAAGAAAAGGACATTTAAAATATACCACATACAAAATGAATGGACTCATTCAACATATTTTAAACTGTAGATAGTGAATTATTCAAATTGATCAAATATTGAACATGTGTATATTATTCCTATCAAATCTATTTTAAGGAATGGTACAAATAATAATCTTATTTGATGGTATGGTAGAGTTTTGTACAGTATACACAGATATAAGATAAATTAAGATAAAATTGACTTTTATTAATCCCTCGTGGGGAAATTGTTTCTCTGGATTTGACCCATCCTAGTGTTAGGAGCAGTGTGCTGCCATTTTGAACGGCGCGGGGAGCAGTGTAGGGAACCTTGCTCAGGGACACCTCGGTAGCACTTGGTCTTGCCGGGACTTGAACTGGTGACCTTCCAGTTGCCAAGCCAACTCCCTATCGACTTTGCCACCACCGCCCCATAAGCATGTTGAGTTGCCATTTTATCATAAATGCTGTTGAAAATCCTGGGAACTTCCACAATGCTTTTTTAATTAGTGCTCTAAATTGAACACTAATCCAGCTTAACCTTTTTTTTTTATAAAGTCTACAAGTATAAAAACATTTAAATATGTTAGAAATACAACTATTTGAGAAACATTCAAATCTTCAGTGCCAAGAATGCAGACCGAGGGAGATGCTGTGGTAATTGCTCAACATTACACTCATCTGATAGCATCTTTAGCAACAACAACAACCACAAAATACCCGCCATTTGCAAAAAGATATGAACATGGTTGAGTGTCAGCATTCTGCAAGGTATAACTCAGCTCCTGGATATTAAGTGATCACATAAACAAAGGACAGAGAAAGGTGTGGAGTCCAGTGAAATGAATGAATATTTTTGAAGTGTGAGACTCCTAGGCAGTCACATGACATAGTAAGCACTATATCATACAGTCGAGTGCTGTACTGATGCTGGAAGCCACTTAGGGGCTTTAAAGGTTACAGCCCACCACCAGCTTATAGAAACAGACCGGACTGAGGGGTGTAAACTCTGTACTATATTAGGACAGGCGAGACAGTGTTGTTCTCACCTGGTAGACATGGGAGATGAGCTTCTCAGGGCTGCTGAAGTCCAGTGAGCAGAGCGGACACACAAAGTTGATGCAGTTGTCTCCCCCTTCCTCGCTCTCCTGAAGAAAACAAGCACCATTAAAAACATGTTGAAATACTTTTAATATATAAATTGGCAGTAATCTGTTTTGAACTCTTATGACGTTTGCACTGCCATCTTTAACTTTGTACTTTTCAGCTGTGTTTCCGCTGTTTTCAGCTATGTATTAGCAAAGTCAATAAATGCCAGAAAGTAATTATGTGTTAATGTGTAACTTATTACAATTCAAAAGCAAAGTACATCCTCCTCTTTGGAACTTAGTATGCTGACAGCTGATTATAAACATAAAACGATGGATTCTTAAAAGCACGGCACATTTTTTTCCTTTGTGGAGTCACTTCTCACTTTATGTTTCTAGCTGGAGCGTTTCTACAAGTGGTATATGGAGATGTGTTGAGAGCGTGATTAAGCACCATTTCCCACAAACCCCCAGTGATTCATTAACAGTGACTTGATGATGTGTGCTTTCACAGATGTGACTCACACACAAGCTGAAATGCATGACATTTTCAAACAGAAGGTCTGCGCACAAAACATATTGGCTGATGCCAGGGGTGTTCTGTTCAAGTCCATTAAATGAAAGCGCTTGCCATTTTCTTTATTGCGTAGGCGGATACTTTGTCACAAGTTGTCACATCCCACAGACATGGTTCCTGCTACTTTTTATAAATACCTCTTATACCAATTTGATATAAACCTAACGATCAAGAGGTTGAAGATGATTTAACAAATTAAGATCTTATGGTCAAAATAAGAGCTTGAAAATATATCTGCACACTGCCTTACAACTTCTTGAAACACAGTTTGAGTTTCACTGTTTTAACGGATGGTCTGATGAAAAGGAAACATTGTGTAAATGTCAGATGTACGAGATATCAGTACTTCCTGTTACTTTCTATACCCAAAGTAATTCATTCAAATGATCTGCTTTTTTTCTTAGCATGAACATGTATGCAACGAGGGCTGACAATACAGATTACTTTTAATTGTATTGATTAATTTGCTAAGTATTTTCTCAATTATTGGTCCAATAAATGTCAAACATCGTGGCAAATGTCCATCAAAGTTTTTCAAAGCCTGAGGTGATGTCTTTATAAGTCCTGTTTTGTGAGTCCAAATCCTAAAGATATTCAGTTTAATATCACATATAACATAGAAAAGATCCATGATTGAAAACAGCATTTTCTGCCATTCTTGAATCTAATATAACTTAATATTCACTATCTGTGAATCCACAGTTAGTAAAATACGATATACTTGCGCAGTAACTTGAGCAAAACCCATCAAATACAGTGGTATGTTTTCCTACACAGATCCATATCCAAATTAATATTCACATCAACTGCTGTTTCAGGCACTGCTGGGGGATGAGAGATTATTAAGTTCTACATTTTCACAGCCAACAGTCTTGCCACATGTGATGTGCCATGTTTTCCAAATGGAAGCTAGGCCCCTACACTGTGACACATTTCAATAATATAGCTCTCTGGAGTTTGTATGTTCATGCAGCAACACCACCAACACCTCAGTACAGTGAAGGCCTATATTGTAACATATATTTAAACTAGACACTTTAAAATACTGTCAAAGGCATAAACAATACCACTTTAAACCAGGATTTCCCCCCCCTCCCTCACCTCTTTGACCCCCGCTCCTTGAAGTCGGCACTGCGTTCTCTTGGTGGACATGTGGTCGTCAGCGGAGGTGTTGGAGGACGAGTCTTCACCGTGGTTGTCAAGGTCACTCTCGCTGTCTTCTATGGAGGCAAACACATCCCTATCAATACAGACAGACAACAGAACACAGAGCAGGGCTTACTCTCACTAACGCCCCTCAGTCCCAGGACGTCCCACAGAGTCCCTCCAGTGCTCCCCTGCCCCGGCCCTTCATCCTTTACCTGAGATGCTATCCTGCTCTTGTACTTCCTGGGAGTTGTTGCTGCTGCAGCATTCACTGTCTTCGGTGAATTCGTCCCTGCCGTCCATGTTAATAGTGTGCTGAAGTCCTGTGATGCCTAAAGTGTGAAATGGCCCTGGAGAGAGAAGGAAAGCCTCAGTCAGCAACAAACCTGGGTAACTGATGTGGGTGCGGAATATGACTCTTTATAAAAGAAACATTTACGGTCCTTAATTATGACTTGCTGCTTAGCTTCAGCTAAAGAAGAACTCATTTAATTGGTGAAGAATGACTATATGTTTTCAGTGAATGATCGCAATTTCTTGACCTATTTTATTACATATAGCCAGGTATATATAGTTACCGTTTAAAACAAACAATGAGCCATAGGGGGAAGTGGTTTACATTAATTTCAGAACAGCTAAGGGGCCATGAGACAATATGGGTTTCCTGACATCAGCAATTTTGTCGTCATGTGGTAACTATCTATGCATTAACATCTCTGGGTCTATAAGAGCAAATGAGCAATATTCAACATGGAGCTTCTTTTGCTTTTGCGTCAATGAGAAAAAGGGCTGTGATTGTCTATACAGTTGGTGTTCAAGAATTACATCACAATATATATTTAACACCCTCGGATCAAATGCTGACGATATAGTAGAGTTGCTTGGTGCAAACATGTCTCTGTTTAAGAAGAGCCTTGGTATTGGTTGTTGAAATAACAATGAATGAATGTTTCCACCAATCAATAACACAATTCCAGTGAAACCAGTGGGACGGGCTAAAGATGTGGAAATAATAATAGTTTTTTTATGATTGCATGTGCATCAAAAGGTGAGGAGGACATGAATAAGACACCAAGCCCGTCTATCAAGTTTCACGTTGTTCAAGCTTGTCTTTGTATGAAAATAAACTACAATTTCCTGCACACAGTGAACCATTCAGTGTGTGTACAGACAGACAGATGACTTTGCACCATGGTGGCAGGACCTCCCATTGAGGGATTGGGTTCACCAAAAACATGATTTCCAAAGATATGTTGATTAGAATATTTATATTTCAATGAATTGTGTCTGTTTTAAAAATAGAATATCCACCTTTTCACCCATATAATTTATGCAGCATGATTGCTTTATCTCCATAGCAACATACTGTACAAAGAGACAGCATCTACTGTCAGGGCATACATCAAGAAGGTATGACTTTTTCCGAACTAGTGCTTCGCCTACAGCTCACAGTTCAGGATTTATCCACTCACATACAAAGAGCCTCTCAGAACACTTTGCTTTAATACAATGGTAGAAATGATTACAATAATACAAAATGGTGGCGACAGGAAGTGGAACCTATCATCAGAACAGCATAGTCCACCCACGAAATAAAAAACACAGTGCCAGATAGTGAATTATTTATACAATTCTACTTTTTTTGGAGGAGATTTTTGGGCTCCACTTAAAACGAGCACTACAAGAATGTATTTTTCCCCCGATTTGGCTGCTTTTATATCAACAACCCCGCACTGAAACATAATGAATGCTAAGCCAGAGCCCGCTGACATATATGTGCACACACACATTAGCTTAATTTGCATCCCAACCCCCACTTTTTCACACACATATACACTCGCAGAGACATGCTAGCTCTGTTCTTCCACAGCCATGCTGCAGTCCCACGGGGGAAGCAGCCTGCACTCTTTTCCCCTAGCTAGCTGCCTTGCTGCTCCGTGTGTTTCTCTCGCTCTCTCTCAGTACCACCCACACACTGAACAGCCTGGCTCGCCCTCTGTCCTCCCTGCTTGTGTGTAGCTCTGACTACTTCCATATCTATACCATCAGCTCTGAGGGGGAGGATAACGCTTCATACCCTGAAGATAATGTGTGGCTCAATTAACTCCTCGTGATGACACTCTATGTTTTGTTGGTTTTAGGTTTCTGGAAAGAAATCTTGCACTTGTTCCATTATCACACTTGACCCTGAGCAAACCTGTATTTAACTGCCGACACAGCTTCATTGGAGACAGTTCTGTTGAGAGCTTCTCTGGCATGCACACAAGAACATCCCACTGCAGATCAAATTAATGGCATCTTAAATCTAATGTTCTTCCCCTGTGCCTTCTATCCCTGTTATCTCAGATCAGAGATGGGAGAGAGATCCTGACTTGAGTTACCTGAGACTGACAAGTAATTACAGCCCCCGTCACAATCCTGAGGTATTTCACACACACACACACACACACACACACACACACACACACACACACACACACACACACACACACACACACACACACACACACACACACACACACACACACACGTTTGTCATTCTACTGTTTCACTACTGGCGAGAAGTTAGTATGTGAACGCACCTTGGGCCCTTTTCCCCATTGAAATCAAAGCATTCATTAGCACCGGTAGAGTGAGTACTGAGTATTGAACTATGAACTACTACAACAAGCTGGCTTCACGGCACATAGCCAATGATTGATGTGTGAGAGATACCCATCCCCCCACTGCTAGGGTTCTGTCTGTACATCTGTCTCTCCTCGCTCCCCCATCCTCCCTCCCTCAGTCTCTGCCACTGTGATGTTATCTCTGAGTCTGTGTGTCTGTAGGCAGGAGGTGACGCAGTGTCTGACTGAATCCAGACAAAGAGACAAACTCATCAGCCAACAGACACAGAAGAGGGAGAGAGACGAGGGGGGGGTGGTGGCAGTGGGGGGTGGAGGGGCAGTGCTCAAAACAAAACAGACAAAAGACAGAATGCCAAAACTCTACTCAAACACCAAGCAATGGGGGTCCTGTTGAATTCAAAGCCCCCTCCTTCTTCTTTTCAGACACCAAAAACACACACATGCAGACACACAACATCGTCTGAATCTGCAGGAAGTGCTGGGGCCCCTGTCTTGCATATTTTCACACACACACACACACGCAGGACAGCGAGGATGGTGGTCCAGACATATGATCAATTCTCACTCTAATTAACTGATGAGATAATGTTACGAAGAAGAAGGCAAAGGGATTAGCCATTTTTCTATTCGCAGAAGATTTCCACTATTGTGGCCCCTGATATATACTAAGTGCCCCTCCTTGGTCAACTGAAAAGTAATATTGACATTCTTATTGGGATTTTAATACAGCCAGTGTGATAGCACAAAGCCATCACTGAAACGTTTGTGCTGAGCTAACTTGGGAGAAAACATGCTTGGAGAAACAAAGTTTTTCTGAATGTTTACAGTAAAAGGCCTACATGCACTTTAACTGTCTATAAACTGTCAGCCTCAAGGACAAAGCCACTTCTCTCCATAAAGCATACACCACCTTCAGATCTTATTAACTTTTATACAATGCTGTTGTTATACATCACACTCAAGGAGGAACTCAAAGCTAGACAGACATCCCTGTTGTATTATTGTCTGGAATTCCCTCTGTGTGTGTGTGTGTGTGTGTGTGTGTGTGTGTGTGTGTGTGTGTGTGTGTGTGTGTGTGTGTGTGTGTGTGTTCGTCTTTGTGTGTGTGTAATGCAGCCCGCCTGCCTGTCAGACTGTCTCCCTGCCTGTCTGGTCTGTCAGTCTGTCTCTCTGCTCTGACTCTCTCGGAGGGGGGGGGAGGACAGCTCTGAGCATGCAATTCATTGCTCACAAGAAAAGACAGGTAAAACAATCAAGGCAGAGCAGAGGAGACTCCACGTGCCGAACACAGTGCCAGAACTCGCACTACAGTGACACAGCGGGAGGTACAGCTTGTCAAATCCCCAAAATGTCTTGGAATTTGTCACAGCATGAGGAGCAGTGCACTAACACATGCCAGCAGTACACTGCTCCAGACCCTCCTGAGGGGTTCAGCTCCCGCTCTTGACTCTCGTAGAAGCGCTACAGAGCAGCAAATGAGCCCATTAGCCCGCAGGGATCACTGCAGTCGCGAGATGCAGCAGTTTAAAGAAAGAAGGGCCGCAGCATACATAACTTCAGAAGATTACACTAGACAATCCCTTACTGTGGACTGAGGCGTGTTCAAGAAGTCAGCATGGTGTACACCAAAAGGGAGGGGGGGGGGGGGAAG